GAATATCCGAATATTTTGTCGTTGTGGTATTATCCGGATAGCAATTTTTATATTTAATAATATGAATTAAGCTGACTATAAAACAATAAAAGTGGAGAAACTCCAGTGGAGGTTCATACTTTATATGGTCACTGTACGTTCTGCTTGTTCAACAGGTGATTTTCTTTTTCTATTGACTCCGGTGAGATATAACCTCGAGCGTGTTTCATTGTCTGCTGTGTTCTCGCTCTGCAGACAGCCAGCGACAGACAGCAGAGGAATGAAAAATGACCGCTCACAACCGAGTGCTGAGTGGCGTCCACGCTACTGGACGTAATTATAGGCTGAAACTCCATTAAGAGGACAACAATTACATTTTCTTGCTTATCAGCCAGTAATATATTGGCTGCCATGTTGTGCTTTCCTATCAAAGTATGAGAGAGAAAAAAAAGTCATACGAAGCCGTTTTGTGTTTACAGAGAGAGCCGGGCCAAATCAGATAAATTTTGAACATAAAAACAAAAACAAATATTTTGATGAGTTGATTGTCAAGTAGCAAATATTCTGATTACAGCCTCTCACATGAGTCCTGCTTTTATTAGGCATATATTATCTTCAGATAAATGTTTTGGAGGTTTGGACTTCCAGGTTTGACTCCAAGAAGTGTTGATAGGCATTTTAAAACATTTCCTACACTCAGCAATTAATAAATTACTTTTATTTATATTGTGCAAAGTAAATAATAATGAAAATAATTGTTGGTTGCAGCCAAAATGTACAGTAAGAAGGATCTGAGCTTACAGTGTTTCGAGCTCTTTATTAATTCTTGGGACTGGAGCCTTTGCAGTGTTATCTGTTGGCGGCCATGTTGCATCATGGGTAACGTAGGCGCCAGGTTTTGACAAGGAAGAAGAATGAACCTGGTAAAAAAGAAACAACACTATCTGTGGTTCTTCAGCGTTGAGTTTGATCTTTTGTTTTTAATTTTCTGTTAATGTTAAATCTGTGAACAAACAACCTGTCAGTCCACCGGCGTATTAATCGGCTCGTTGTTTTCTTTGTTGATCAAGCTGATTAGCGGTTTAGTCTAGAAAATGGTGGAAAATGTGGAGCGTTTCCCAAAGCCTACAAAAAAATGTTCACATGTAAGAAGTTGCGATATGAGGACGTTTTTTTTTTTTTCTCCTTGAAAATCAAAACAGCTGGTGGTTAATTTAATAGCAGGCAGCGACTAGATTGATTGATTAATCGCCGCAGCTCTACGAACCACTAAAACTAACTGTTGAATATTCATTAGCGATACATCCAGCTTGTAAATGTTGGGTTTCTTTTTTTTCTGTCCCTGCGTCTCAGGTTCTTCCAGTTTTTTGATCAGCTGCGACGGCTGAGGATGTGGAAGATGCAGCTGCTGGACGAGCATCACCTCTTCATTAAATACACCAGCGAAGACGTGGTCACACTCAGAGTCACCGACCCCTCGCAGGTACAAACGCACACACACACACACACACTCACACACACGCTCGTCTCGCTGCGAATTCCTGCCTCTGCTCTCTTTGTTGCTCTCCCCCCGCGTCTCGCTCTCTCCGCCTTTTGTTTGCGTTGTATAACCGGAATACCTCTTTCAGGTCTCCAAGGACACGCTCGTCCTGCAGATTCTGCTCGGCCCCGCGACTCATCCTCGGCGGCGGCAAACGGATCTAATTAATGTTCCCGTTTGTTTACGAGAAATCTCGCATTAAGCTTTTTTTGATTCCGCCGACGCGTAAATATCGTCGTATCCAACCTGTCGCGTGTCGTGAGCGCGCGTGAGAGGTTTAAGTTGAGCTAGAGTGAGCGTTGTTTATCCTGACTGGGCCTTGTTTTTCTTTACTCTCAAAGATCACGATTAACCCTCTGAATCCCAAAGCAGCTTCTGGGTGTTTGTTTTGTTCCCGTCACATTTTTACTCACTGTGAGGCTCATTTTTCACTGCAGTCTAAAGTCCTGCATCTCTATGGAAACAGAGCAACCAGGACTGGAAGGAGAGAGAACTCAGAAATGTATTTTCTGCAGCATGACACAGTTATAATGGCTTAAATCATTGAAAAAAAGGGGGAAGAAAAGTTACTTTCCTTTCATATTAACTTAACAAAAATTGAAGAAACAAGTCCACCGATGTTACCACAAAACTCAAACATATGAACCTCCACATGCTGCAGCTCATGTGTTTACAACCTCTACAAACATTTCAGCTCTACAAAGATGTTTCACCGTGCTCAGTGTATCTTTCAACAACTTGCTCCTCCGTGTACTTTATTTTTAAGCCATGATGTATTTATTTTCAACCTCGGCTGTTATTTTTTTTCCCCCCTCAGACTCTTCACACGACCTGCAGTTCAACCAAAAAGCCACAGAGCTTCTGTCACATGATTATCGGTCACGTCTGGGAAACTTGTTGCGTCTCAGTTGTTTTCTTTTTCTTTTACCGAGTCCGTTTAATGAAAGGGGTTTATTTTAGACCATTTTTAAAATTAGACATGTGGGGATGCAACTACCGATTGGTTGGATGGTTCCTGATAAATCGACTAGTTGTTTGGTCTATGTAATGTCAAAAAATGGTGAGAAATGTCCAAGATCACATCCTTAAATGTCTTGTTTTGTCCACAACCCAAAAATATCCAGTGTTCTCTCATAGATGTGGAAAAAAACTAGTAAATATTCACATTTAGGAAGCTGTAGTCACAGAATTTGGGTGTTTTTTCCTAAAATAAATTGCTCAAACTGAGAATTTTTACTGTTTTTCTTTTTAAAATATTACTCAACACTTAATTTTACTGATTAATTGATTGTCAAAATAGCTGGTGATTAATTTAGTAGTCGATCGCTAATCAGTTAATTGGTTTGTTTCTGCAGCTCTAGACACATGCAAAGTGATTTTAATGTAATATCACAATTCCAAGCTTGGATTTGTTTTTTTTCTGCACATCGCACACGATTTATTCAACGATCGCTGGAAAATTTCACCAGAAAATTGAAAATCTGCCGATTCTTTCTGCTGTTACAGTTTCAAAGCAGCCTGTCAAGCCATCTCTGAGTGGCCTCCTGTGTGTTTCCTTCACAGCCGTCGTTCTTCGTCGTCTACAACATGGTGTCCACCGAGGTTCTGGCCGTCTTTGAGAACACCTCGGACCAGCTGCTGGAGCTGTTTGAGAACTTCTGCGACCTGTTCAGAAACGCGACGCTGCACAGCCAGGCCGTCCAGTTCCCCTGCTCGGCGTCGTCCAACAACTACGCCCGGCAGGTCCAGAGAAGGTAAACCCTGTGTGTAGCAGATGAACTGTATAATTGAAATACCTAAATTAAAACAGTGTGTTATAGCAGAAAAGCAGCTGTCAGGGTCTGAATGGAAGAGGGAAAAAAAAAAAGGCTGCACCTGATGTCAGGCAGCCAAAATGTCAGGGAGGATTTGAAGACGGTGGTCAGGAAGTGAAGCAGATCGCCTGGAGGAGGGAGAAAAAGGAGGAGGAGGAGGAGGAAGGAGTTTCAGGACTTAATCTGGATATAGAAGAGAGACATTAAGACAGTCAGCGTGGCTGGAGGAGCTGTGATTGAATTTGGCGGTTCCACTCGCCGGTGTAGGTGACAAAATCCTCTGTGGAGGGCGAGGCGGCGAGGGGAGGCGGCGGACTGAGGAGGGAGGAGAAGATAAAGGATAGTTTGAGCGAGGAAAAGAGCTTAGAATTGGATTTTAGAGTGGTGAAAATTGATGTCGGAAAGAAGGAGAGGAGAAATTGAAAGCTGGCGAGGAGCACATTCAGCAAACCAGATTTGTACCACTTACAAGCGGCTGGAAGTGAAGCCCGGTTCAGAGGGTTTCAACCCGCCGCGAGTCAGGTAGCGGGAAACAGGCCGCTAAGACAGCACGTATTGTGGCACAAAACAAAGTGAGAGCACGGCTGAAAAATATGGATGTGGAGCTTAGAAGAGTGGGGGAAAAGGGAAAAGGAGAAAAGGGGAGGGAACTTGAGACCGCTGAGTGCTGGAAATGTGCAGTGAGAGTTGGAAGACTGTAATTTAACCAAGAATGTCTCACAAAGGTTTCTTTGAATAAACACAAATGTATTTTACGACTATTTTTAGATTTCTATTGAATCAAGTGGAGCCATTGAGCTCTCCATAGAAAACCAGCTAAAGCGGAAATGAGCCCTTCAGGATCACGCAGGAAACTTGTGCAGATCTCCCTAATGATGATTGCTGCTAATGTCGTGCTCGCGTACCTGTCCCACTGCGCCTCAGATTCAAAGACACCATAGTGAACGCCAAGTACGGCGGCCACACGGAGGCGGTGCGCCGGCTGCTGGGTCAGCTGCCCATCAGCGCTCAGTCCTACAGCAGCAGTCCGTACCTCGACCTGTCGCTCTTCAGCTACGACGACAAGTGGGTGTCGGTGATGGAGAGGCCCAAGACCTGCGGAGACCATCCCATCAGGTACGGAGGTTCATCTCAGCGTGGCGTTGTCACTTCATGTACATGTCCAGTAATATGTTTATGCGAGTAAAACGGCTTTCATCCAGCATTGCCACCTCTTTTCCACCAAGAAGAACCGGGTGCTAGTTGGTTACTGGTGCTGGTTCCAGAGCTTAGTCGGTTCAAATCTTGCACCTCCTATGAACCTGTTTGTTTTTCCATCGGCAAGGAGTCAAGCTAGAGCCACACCATATGTCGCCGTTTACCGAACAACGCTGGCGCCATTCAGAAGTCCACACAGGACTCCAGACTGACTTTTTCATTTGGTCACACTTCCCACCTTGTCACGGGCAAAACATATGACTAGCTGAACGTTTTCTTATGAATAGACAGGCTGACAGCAGGCTGCGGTGTTCATACCGGTGTGTGACCAAAAACGACTTTAAAAAGAGTAAACCAGGGCGTTCTAATGTCAGATTTGTCCAACATGAAACCAAGTCATTTTTTTCTTGTGCGGTCTTCTCTATGAGCGGAATAAACAGCGCATGTTGGTGCGCGCCGTTTTTCACGAGAAGACCGTATTTCTAAGCGTAAATACCGCAGTACACCAAAGTAATAACAGTACTGTTTTGCACCACTGTGGTGCTGCTGGTGGGACACAATCGTACCGGCTTTCAGTGCAACAGTTTGTGTAAAACCTCCATGTGCCCCGGGACTCATTCCAACACATCTGTGATGGACCAGAGACGTCCTTGTGAATGACGACACAAATCACCGCTTGTGTGTCCCATTCTGTGTTTCCATCCGTCTCGTCGGTCAGGACAACCCCGCCCCCAGATCCTGATGTACTCGGTTCTTAGCTCTGGCCCAGCAAAGACTTGGTGCTTGCTTAAGCATCAGTTCTGAGAACCTGGAGCCGGTGCTCAGGTGGAAACACAAAGAACTGGTGCTGAGTCAGGCTCTGGCTCTGAACTAGGAATGGAACCAGCTCGGTTTAAAAGGGGTATCTGAGAGGTGGAGAGATTTGATAAATGTCCTAAATAGTCCTGAAAGTTGACAGTTTCTTACTTGTTTTGACATGAGCTGCATGTTTAGCTTAGGTCACATGATCACAGGTGGTCATGGAGAGCAGGGACAGATGAATCATTCAGTCTTCATCTGAAAATACATCCTTGTTCTGATCATTTGTTAAACCTGCAGCGTGGAACTTTTTTCTCTTTCGTCCAGAGCATCACAACATTTCTCTGACTCTTCTTAGGTTTTTCCGCCGTACTCCTAGTTAACGAGTAGTCGTTCATTGATTGATTTAACTGATTTAAATATATTTACAGATAAGACAAAAGTCAGAGTGAAATGTCTTGTAGATGAGAGGAGTCCTGGCAGCTGCTTGTTAGCGAGCAGAAAGTGTTGTGGGAGTTTAATGAGTAAAGAGAAAGTCTCCTGTGAAGCTTGATGCCCACCAGGCAGAGCTGATGTCTTACAGGCGAGCTACGGTGGGCTACTGGCTGATTGGCTTTAATTTGATTTAGTTTAATTGGGACGTGGAGTTCGTTTAATGATATTGAAAAATCGATTATTGATTGATAAGGCTGCAAAATGTATAGATTTGTGTCTGTGTGAAACAATTCATTTTGTGGTTCCCATGTTTTAATGAACAATCTGTAGCTGACTGTTTTAGAAGACCTAAATAAAAGAGGGAGAGTCTGGTAGCGATACAGCTGTTGACAAGATCTCAACTAATCCAGCTACAGCGATGACGATTTGAGCTTCCTGGAGTTTAATAAACAAGATGGACTGCAGTGTTGATGTTTAAAATGTGTGGACACTGAAAACAGCCCATGTAGATAAACTCCTCTGTTTTATTTTGGGTAAATCAGACACTAGAACACCTTATTTTACTTTTTTAGCCACACGGCTGTCTGAGTGAACTGACTAGTGTGTGAGGCGTTTAGGGAACGACGGTAAATTGTAGTGTCTTTTTGGTGATTTTTCTTCGTCAGGGAAAAGACTGGTGACAAGGTTCATATATGTCACATTAACGGGTTTAGCTTTTGAGGCTAAAAAAAACCCTGAGACGGGATGAAAAACACCCACATGGGTCCTGATTATGGCTCACGAGTCGTTGGACGAGCCTTTAACACAGCAGCTCCGTCTCTTTCTCGCCCTCCAGATTCTACGCTCGAGACTCCGGCCTGCTGAAGTTCAAGATCCAGGCGGGCCTGCTGGGTCGGCCGGTGAACCACACCGTGCGCCGCTTGGTCGCCTTCACCTTCCACCCGTTCGAACCCTTCGCCATATCGGTGCAGCGGACCAACGCCGAGTACGTGGTCAACTTCCACATGAGACACGTCTGCGCCTGACGAGCTCGTCTTATTTGCGGACCGACGCTGCCGGGCCCATTGTTTTCTGTTTAGCGGCGACACGACAACAAACGTGTCCGTCGTCGGGAGGCACAAAACACTTTGTTCGCTCAGTGGCCCTCTCCTCCTCCAGAGAAATCAGCGGTCCTCCTCTCCCTGCATTCTTCTCCTGATGGAAACCACTGTTCCTCTCCTCTCTGCCCCTCCATCACACAGTGGTCACTCCACCTCTGCCCCTCCTCCCGCTCAGTGAGAAGGCAGCAATTCTGCCTTTTTTTTTCTCCCCTTCCTTTCGCCTCCCTCTTTCCCCCTTCCTCGGCAGAACAAAGAGGGACCTGTGGGGAGGAGAGGCTGGAATAAGTGTAAATGGAGATGTGGAGAGAGTGATTGATGTGCAGCGGAGGTGGGAGCTGTAGGTAGCCGGACCTCAAAGGTGTTTTCTTTTTTCCTGCCGTGCACATTCAGATCAGAATTGCTTGTCCGGTTGGTCCGCGACCAGCTGTCCAGCAAACGCTCTTTTTTTTTTTTTTTTTTTTCCCCTCACATGGATGGGGGAAAGAGGTCATTTTATTTTATATTGTTTTTACACTTTTTAAAATATATATATATATATATTACTGTTTGTATATATTTTCTGCCAATAAAATCGTCTAAATTTTACTCGCTGTCTGCTTTCATCAAGTCGTGTTTCAGCGCTAAGAAACTCAAACAGAGCTGATTGAATCATATATGCCGCAGAATATATTTACTCATATACTGTGTGTGTGTGTGTGTGTGTGAGCTTTGGAGTAGAAAAACAATCGCAAATGTTGTTTCTCTGGATGTAGCAGGTTCAGTATTGTTCCCGTCATGCCTTTCCTTACACCTATTTTATATTTCGCTCTTGTTATAGACGTGAAACGACGTCGCCGCCACCTGGAACCGCGTTCGTCACATTTTAATTTAACTGCTGATCCCTGCAGTCTGTATAGGATCACAGCGTCGCCGTTTCATACGAGGTCCATATGCTCGCCACGCTAACATCCGGACATCTGTTTTAGCTCAAATGTGTTATTAAAAACACCGATGCTAGCAAATCTACAAATATGCAAATGGCCTAACGCCGCCCCCTAACTCCGATCGACGAGCATGTATAGTAAACACATAAAGGCAAAAGGCAGGCAGCTGCAGAGAGGTCAGCGTGGTGGGGAAAGCAGGTGCTGAGGGATTAAGTGTTCTAGTAGCCTCTGGTTACACACCACGCTGGACATGGGAGGCTTGTGTGTGCATGACGGCCAGAGCAGCAGGGGTTTAAGGCAAAGGGAAGTATTAAAAAGATGATGCAGGGATGGGAGAATGGTGGAGAAGTGATAAAACGGAGATGCAGGGCTTCGGTGCGAGTGCAGCTTTATGCAGCTGCTTAGCACAGTGAATGCTATCTTGTAGATCAAGGCTTAAGGAGGCCATGTTATGTCATTGTCATTATATTGTGTTTGTGTAAGCTGGTGTGTGACAACAAGCTGTGATAATCAACTAATTACAGGAAGCGCACACAGCGGGCGCAGACAGGCCTACATATAGGAGGACACAGTGTTTGTTGTCCTCGCAAACACATTGCTTATAGGAAAGGAGTGTTTTGTGCGTCCTCGCTGATGCTGTTACCGTTCTCTTCATTAAATTTAAACCCTAACTTGACTCGTACCTAAAACTGAGCCACCAGCAGCTGTTCACTTTCCCCACACGCATGTTTTTAAAAAGCCAGTGAAACTCGGTGGAACTAAAAGTTGCCGGAGTCTTCGGCGCGAGCTCAGAAAATAGATTACTACATGAACCCGATGCCTCCCGAGTACAATGACAAATATGTTGTATCTGTCTCATTCCTAAGAATCAGGTAAACTCAGAGCCTTCTCCCTGACCTTGGTTGCTACGGAAACATAACCGCTCTCTGCTTGGTAACCTAGTCTTTTTCTAATTGCTGTTGTCTTGGCAACAGCGCAACCAATGTAATCCAGAAAAGGCCACAATTCCTAAGTGTTTCCTGTTGCAGCGCTCGTCTTCACAGAGACCGATCACACGTTTTCAGCAGGAAACCCTGAAAATCCACAAACCGAGCGAGGCTGTGGCAGAACGCTGAACTGCACAGGGTTAGATAACAACTGCTTTTATATATATTTTAACAACTAAATTTAATTTTCAGTGGTCTCTAAACCAGGGACACAAGATTCTTGACGTTCTTTGTTCAGGGGATGTTATTTGGTCACAACAAAATATTTCCTGGAGAAGTATTCTAACCCTAACCTAAACCTAATTCTAACATTTCAACCCTTAAACCAAGTCTTAACGTTAAAACTGGTTTGTAAGTGTGAGAGCCGGCCGCAAATGTTCTCACCGTACCAAAAAATCTTTAGGTCTTGAAGTAACATTTGTCCACGCAAACATGGTCGACATGTGGAAGGGGCCTAGCTGTAATGAGATTAATGTGGGTCCAAAATATCAAGAAATAAGACAGACTAATGTGCAGTGATTCCCATGCCGAGAGGGAAAGATTGTCGGCTGCCTCGGCTAATTTGAAGAAATTGATATTCGCTGATCAGCCACAGCAGTAAAACTACTGACAGGTGAAGTGAATAACATTGATTATCTCGTTACAGTGGCACCTGTCAAGAGCTCGGATATATCAGGCAGCAAGTGAACAGTCAGTTCTTGAAGTTGACGTGTTGGAAAGTAGGAAAAATGGTCATGATCTGTGTGACTTTGACAAATTCTGATAGTTGGACAACTGGGTCGGAGCATCTCCAAACCTGCACTTCTTGTGGGGTGTTCCTGGTATACAGTGGTCATCAAAAGTGGTCCAAGGAAGGACAACTGGTGACGGGTCATTGGCACCCAAAGCTCATCGTCGGTCATATCCCACATATTGGTGAAACCTGAACGCTGGCTTTGATAGAAAGCTGTCAGAATATACATAGAGCTACTAGTGGCATGTGAGCATCAGAACTGGACGATGGAGCAATGGAAGGTGAGTTGGAGTAATGAATTACGTTTCAGTTACAAGAGGACAGTCGTTTACCTCGGGAAGAGATGGCAGCAGGATGGGACACAGACAGTGTGATGTTCTGAGCAACGTTCTGCTGGGAAAACCTTGGGTTCTCCAATCATGTGGATGCGACTTGGACAACTACCTAAACATTGCTGCAGACCACATAAACCCCTAAAGGCCTCTTTCAGCAGGAGAACCCTCCCTGCAACACTGCAAACATTGTTCAGGAATGATGTGAGAAACACCACCAAGAGTTCAGTATCTTGACTTTGTCATGATCTGAGTCAGTTTGAAAAACCGTGATAGTTGGACGACTGGGTTGGAGCACCTCCAAACCTGGAATTCTTGTAGGGTTTTCCTGGTATACAGTGGTCACCAAAAGTGGCCCAAGGAAGGACAACTGGTGAACTGGGCACCCAAAGCACATTGTGGGTCTGATCCCATATACTGGTGAAACCTGAGTTCTAGTTTTGATAGAAAGGTGTGAAAACATACAGAACATAATAGTTTGCTGCGTATGGAGCTGCAATGGACACATGGGCATCAGAATTGGACAATGGATCAATGGAAAGTGAGTTGGACTAATGAATAACATTTTTTTTAACAATAGGACAGTCAGATGCTTCGTTTACTTCTGGAAAAGACGTCAGCAGGATGGGAAGAAGGCAGTGGGATGTTTTGGACAGTGTTTTGCTGGGAAACCTTGAGTTCTACATTCATGTGGATGTTACTTTGACATCTACCTAAACATTGCTGCAGACCACATACACCCCTTCATGGCAGCAATATTCCATAAAGGCCTCTTTCAGCAGGATAAGGCTGCCTGCAATGCTGAAAACATTGTTCAGGAATGGTTTGAAGAACAACACCAAGAGCTCAAGATCTTGACTCAGCTATGATCTGAGACACTTTGACAAACTGTGATAGCTGGACGATTGAGTTGAAGCATCTCCAAACCGGCAAGTCTTGCAGGGTGTTCCTGGCATACAGTGGTCACTAAAAGTGGTACAAGGAAGGACGACCGGTGAACTGGGCACCCAAAGCATTTCAGTGGCCCGATCCCAGGGATTGGCGAAACCTGAATGCTAGCTTTGATAGAAAGGTGTAAGAACATACGGAGTGTCACGGTTTGCTGCGTATGGAACTACAACAGGCACATGAGCGTCAGAACTGGACAAATAAAAGATGGGTTGGACTAATGAATGACATTTCTTTCATGAGATGGCAGTAGGATGCACCACTGGAAGAAAGTGAGCCAGTGAAGGCATTGTGAGGTTCTGAGCAACGTTTTGCTTAGAAACCTTGAGTCCTGCATTTACATAGATGCTCCTTTGACATTTACCTAAACACTGCTGCAGACCCCGTCAACCCTGTTATTGCAGCAGGATTCCTGATGGCTTCTTTCAGCAGGAGAATTTTTTCCTGCAACACTGCAAACATTGTTCAGGAATTGTTTGAGGAACATGGCCAAGAGTTCAAGATCTTGACTTGGCCTCCAAATTCCTCAGATCTCATTTCATTTCATCTCAATCAAGCAGCTATGGAGCGGAAGTTTCACCTTGCAACTTAGTACTAGGACCTAAAAGATCAGACACTAACATCTTGGTGTCTGATACTACAGGAAACCTTGACTAGATGGAGCTGTTCTGGCGACACTGGAGAAACCTATACAACATTTGAGAAGTGGTTTCAAGGATGTGGTCGACAGACTATAGAAAAATGTAACAACTGAAAACTACACACTGCACTTCAGGGTAAAAAACAGAACAAATCAAAATGTGCCTTACTTGTAGGTATGAACAAACAATTATTTTGAGGTGTGTCAGTAAAAATCTAATGCTCCTGATGTGAAAAACAGGGTAAATACGATTCATTTGCTATTTATTTTGCATGTTTTGTTTGCCACAAATAAGAAACGGAAGCATCTGTACCATCTTTTTGCCAAACAAAGCCAAACTCCCCTTCTAGCCGTCGTGCTCTGACGTAGAGCAAAAGTATTTCCAAGAAGCATCCTCTCCAGCAAGCATTGCTTGTTACTGTAGTTGCAAAATCACCACATCACCATCAGTCCACTCGACTCTGATGGATTTATGAGCATCACTAAGAGCAGAACAGCGATGGGGAGGGATGCGGTTCAAGTTTAATACTGAAAAAATATAGGGAGGCTGGTGAAGGAGGAACAGAAAATCATATGGATACACAGTGAGCGGAAAAAGGTCAGAAAAGATTTACCAGGAGGGGATTTCATTATCTGTGACATATAAAAAGCCGACAGGATGTCCACTGATGACTGAAGGGCCTCAGTTTTATTACTCTGGAGATGGCTGCTGCATTTCTTCTGTCCGTGTGTTTACCATCAGCGTGTTGCTCCCTTTTCGATTGGCGGCTAAACTCAGTTTGTCATTATTTGCACGTTTCCCCGAGTTACAATACATAAGATACCACAACTGAAACAAACAGGGCAGCTCATTTGAAAATGTGCACAAGTCATAACCCCTGGTACTCAAGAAAACATCAAAATGCCAAAAACTGCAGTTCCTCCAGTGTCCACTTGAGGCTTCAAATCCAAATTAGTCGCTATAGAACCTCGTGTCAAAACTTAACAGCTGAAATAAACATGTTTAGAGTGGCGAGAGATTTT